TGACAGGGGAGCTGCTGGAGCCCTCTTGCTGAGCAGATAGGGTAAGGATATGAATTCCAGGGAGATACCAATGCCATGTTCAGGGAAATTCTCAGTGTTGTTGCCAAGTTTGCTGTTAATTCCTTCAAAATCTTTGAAAGCAACAGTAAAAATGAAATAAAACAAAACAACAACAGCAACAAAAATCTTCCCGGAGGCAGACACATCTTTGCTTTAAGAGGCTTGCATTATAGCAAATGGGTTAGATTTCAGTTACTACTTACTTGCTCCTGTGGCCAGAGCCCTTTTTCAGTTCCTAATCTGCCACACTGCATGGAGAGGCCCCCTGCATGGATTAAGCACTATAAGAACTAAATTTTCTTTTGGCCAAAAGCTAACATTGTGCTTTTGCAGATAAGTACAATATTATTTAATGGAAACACTCCAAGGATTGTGTTTGTAGATTAAAAAAAAAAAACTAAACTAATAGAAACTACAGAGAGAATAAGACATAGTAGAACTTATCTCACTGACTTCCAAAAATGTCTAATAATTGGAATAACATTCTCCTACTCCCAAGATCAATCTCCTATAAAACTGTTGCATGCTTGGGGAACTGTAAGTGTATTAGGTACTTTCTCTATTCATCATCTATAATATAATGCCTACATGTGGAGCCATAGAAAAGATTAAAAATGTTAATATATATAAAGCTTAAACTAGTTGCAGTATTTAAATTTTATTTCAATAAATATTAGCTATTATTTGTATCATATGTTAATAGGAAAGGTAAAGGTAGATAAAGCTGTTGAGCCATGTAAGGAATATTTATCCAGAAAATATTTTTCAAGTAGGGCTTTGGAAAATGTATAGAATCTCAACACGAAGAGAAAATAAAGGGAAGACATTCCAGACACTGGGAATAAAGGTGAAAATACAAGGCAACATTCCAGAGTGATGAGTAGACCCATAATCCCAGCATTCTGGGAGGCTGAGGCAGGAGGATCACAAGTTTGAACTCAGCTTGGTCAAAATAAAAAAAAGGCAAAGGATTTAATTCAGTATGAAGCCCTGGTTTCAAATCCCAGTAAAACACACACACACACACAAAATTAAGTAAACCCATTTATTAGAAACCAAATGTAATGTGTAGAAGAAGTTTAAATTGAGGCATATAGCAAGGTGTACAGAACTCACTCTTATTTCTTTGACCAACAATAAAAGCCAAAAGATTTTACTCAACACTCCTTATAAGCTGGGTTAGGCCTTCCCACTCTAGGAAACCTGTTTGCTCAAAAGTCTTGTAACACAGTCCTTCTAAAACTTTACAAGCCAATGACTTGCAGCCTTCCTAAAATGATGATTCTGATGGAATAAGACAAGATGGAGACATGAGGCTTGGGATCCTACATTTTTAACAAATTTCCAGGTGCTCCATATGGTCTCATCCATGGACCACACCTTGAGTACCAAGAACAGCCTCCTCTCATCTTTGTCATTACTTAGTCAGGAGTATTGTGCAGTGCTGACATTCCTCAAACTCTCACCATTGGATTCTATGCCTCACTTGACTCTTACACTATTACTAGAAAGTAAAATCACAGACTAAAATCATTCCAAGAAAGCAATGAACTCTAAGGAGATACTCAAAGGAAGACAAAATAATTAATAAAGCTATGGTGGGGATATGGCTCCACGATAGCAGGTGATAGATAGTGAGGCCCTCTAAAGAAGGTGCAACAACCTAGGATTTGAGACGATAAGTCAGCGTCACCCCAGTGATCTGGTATGTGGTACAGAGAGGGGAACGAGTTCTAGGAAGCACTCTGAGTGAGACTGGCAGACATGGACGGACGTGTGTAAGATTCTGGGAGGCAGAAGGGCCCTGGAGTTGCCATTACAGAAGAGAATTCAGCGTGGACAGGATTTAAGGGAAGCCTGAAACGCTTTAGAGGCCAAAGGGAGAGTTTAGGGAGAAAGACCATTTGAACTGCATTGAAAGGCTAAGAACATGGCCCATTCTATAAAAATCCAGTGCACATGACCTCATTCCTCACATAAGACAAATCTGTCACTTTAGCAAATCTATATATAATAGCTATTGTTGCAAACTCAAGGCTCAATTTCTATTATGTATTGCCCAACCACCTTTCAGGCATTCATCTGTTTATAATCTTTTAAATGAAAATATTACAAAAAGTCTTGTTATAAGAGATATACATATACAGTTATAGAAGACACTTACTCCTCTTCTCATGACATACCCAGTTTCTCTAGCTCTGTCTTGAGATTCTGAACCCCATCCACATGAAACTGGCTACATTTGAGTGGTATGGAAATGGGACCTCTGCCAATGCTGAATTATTCTGAGTCTATCCCAAGGATTTTGGCTCAAAACTGAAGAAAAGCAAGTCTGACCTCACACCCTTCAGGGAAACAAAGGTGAGAGCGTGTATCGTCAGAAATTGAGAGAACATATGGGACCAGTTTCCATCACATGGATTGAAGACCATAAACAGCAGTTATAAGAACAAAGACTGCTTAGAGAGCATAGGGAAATAGCTCTACCTGAGAGGTTGGCATCTGACAACCTTGTACTCCCCAGATAAGCTAGGTTATCAAAGTCCAACTACAGTCTGGCCTAAGTCTTGGTACAACATCCTGTGATTTCTCCTAATGAAAAGGGCAATAAGCTACCTGATGAGCTGCTGGGAATCAGTCCTCTTCTCCTCATTTAGTAGAAGACTGCCACAAAACTGTTTTCTATCCATCACCTTATTTTCAGTTAAACTCAAGACTTTCCACCTCACTCCCACTTACAGCTTCAGACTTCAGCATAAGTCCATAAAACTTCTGGGTTATTGTGCCCACCAGTCATTATCTATCATTTAGCCCCTTCAGTATTATCTGGGGTACTAGGAACACAGAGAACTGACACCACAATGATTAGCTTTTGCTGTCTAAGTAATAAAAGTCCGATGTCTTGTAACAAACCTCTGAATCCATATGGCCATGTTTATTCTTTCCGGGTCAACCTCTGGAAGTGTGGCAATCCATTCTAACAGTAGTATCCATCGACATAAGACTTCAGAGATGTTTGAGTATTTAACAAAGACAAGAAATAAGAGAATGAGAGAATTCACTTCCTGAGTTCCTCCCCAGTGCTCCAGTCCCCGATCCCTGACCTTGAATTCTCTAAGAGACTCTGGTAACTCTCCCCAGTTTATATTTTCCATTAAAAGAAAATTCCCTTGGAATACTTTTGACCTTTACAAACAAAAGACCACATAATACATACTTAAAGATGATACTAGCCAAAACTGCAGTGCCAGAAACCTAAATGCATCCTCTTTTCATCAAAATTCTACCTGTCTTGTGTACTGATTTTTTTCCTGGTCTTTGATGTAGTATATGTAATGAAAATAATCTGCATTTATTAGAGTTGTAATAAATGTAAGAGTTTGTAAAATGCTTTTAACCAAGTAAACATGACTTTTATCATTATGATAAAAGTATCATTAGTATACTTTGTATTCCACAATACAAAACATAGATATCAACTATGCACAAACACTTTAAATTTATTTCATAAATATCCTAACTTTTTGTTTATATCACTTAGAATTTTAAGAATATATGATGGAATCACACATTATATCTATGCTACATACTTATTCAACAAAACTGTAAATTAGAGTTTGACCCAGTTTTAATATTCTTTGAGCTTGGCTGTCCTTAGTACATGTCATGATCATCTAAACACATATACAGATGCTAATGTGTCCATTGGTCATAGCTTAGGATGTTATCCAAGCAGCTTCACTTTCACTCTGGATCTGAGTTTTCTCTGATCAGGGTCACAGACTGGGACTCCAGAGAGATATAGCCACCCAATCCCTGAACACTGAGGAAGTCCACAAAAATTTGTGAATTGGTGCAAGTTCATCATCACTACTGGGAAACAATTTGAAAACTACACAGCGTATTTCCTGACATCATATTAATGAAGAAACAATGAATAAGTACCTGTAAGAACTGAATGCCTCAATTGTCATGTTGAAGAAATATTATCTTTAAGGAAGTGTCCAGATTATAAGTGACATATTCAGCTGATTGTTAGAACCCTAAGATGAAAGTAATTTATGACATAATAACTAGTATAATTTGTAGTAACTTGTTATAAAATTTCAAATTTGCTTGAAGATTAATTTTATTAGGCAATGCTGAAAATTATAGTTTCTAGTCGCTGTCTTAATATGATTTATCAATGTTACCATTACATAGCTTATTAAAAATAATTACACTTATAAAATTGGTGAAAAGCTAATTATGGCAGTTAAATTATATAACAATGCATCTCAGTATGTGGATTAAATTTTCAACCAAATTACAACTTATATTTTAAAATATCTTTGAAATTCATATATATAACATAACTTCATAACTTTCTCAGGCCACGTTTAAGTGATTATTTCTAGCTTTTTTCTCACAGCATAACTCTCCATAAACACAAAGTGAGTTGACTCCATCAAAGGTGTTTATGTGTGTTAACATGAATTTAATTTTAATACGCCTGTTTATGGCATGAATCCATCCCCCAGCAAGCACCGTAAGCAATAAGCTGCTCCGTGTTCTGACGTAACTCTTCACTAAGAGGTAGGATTTTTGTGAACCTCCGCGCTAATTTGGAAGAAAGTGTCTACAACTGGAAGGAAGTGAAGTGAAGGAAGTGAAGGAAGACGAAACAGGGATCACTTTCAAGTAAAACAAAACGCTTTCCTCAAACTTGGAACTTGGTCCTCTCCTAGGAACACAAAGGGCCAGGAACCCGAGAGCCGCTTCGGCGGGCGCCGCGGGGACTTTACCTGAGGCACCCGCAGCCCACTGCCTGCTCCCGGCCTCCTTTGCTCCCGCGCTCTGGAGGAGGAGGCGGAAGCGCGCCTGGGGGGCTCCTCTGAGAAGCGTTTTTTGGATTCGAGTGAGAAAAGCGATTCGCCTACGGCGGAACGGGGTGGCCTTACCTGCAGAACCTCCGGCCATGATCTGCCTTGAAGCCTCACGCACCAAACCGACGTCGGCCTTGGCGGACATCTTCCAAGCGAGAGCACGGAGAGCGGGCCGAGACGAGGGAGCGAGCTCGCCGCTGGAGCCCGGGCTGCGCGGCCTCTCCGGGCGGGGAGACGCGGCGTGGGTTGGTCCTCCGGCCGCGTGGTTCCCTGAGGGGCGGTGGGACAAGCACAGGCTAGCCGCGAGATCTCCAGCGGATCAGAACCGGCTCACTGCACTGTCGGGGCGCTCTCTCGCTTAGGCTGGGCCCCTGACTTCACGAAAGGTGCTAGGCTAGAGGTCTCGCGACCAGCTAGGCAGGCCGCCTCTAGCGGTTCTGTCCTGGTGTCCTGGATTGTCGCCCACTCACTTTCCTATCGAGAGCCTTCACGCAGAGTTTGCTCTGCTGGACGCATTGCCTTTGATAAGGAAAGTGAGGCGAAACCCTCCCAGGAGCTCCAAGAGCAAAACTGGGACGACCCTTGCCCTGCGGGGGAGGCCAAAACAGTGGACTAAAAAAGGGACAAAAGAATAAATTATTCACAGTTAATTATCCTGGATTGTAGGCTGTAGCAACTAAGTCAAAGCAGATCCGATTTACAGTTGTCCTATAGTTGATCTAATGTGATAATTTACCAAGAAAATAGTTTTGATTTAGGGAAATGTGTCTCATACCTCATGAATTTTAAGTTTTATTTATTCAAAGACCGCCTCCAAAAAAAACCAAGTAAATCTTTACCCAGTTTAAAAGTTCTTAACCAGCCTAACTTATCCCTTAGTAAAATTCTGGGGCCCCAACTCAACCTGTTGCTTCAGAATCACTGGGGTTAGGGTCTAAAACCCTTTATTTTTAACCAGTTCCTGAACGTTATGAACGTTGAGTTGGCTTAAATAATCAAGGAATATTAAGGAAAGTGTAGTATATTATTTTTAAAACATTCAATTACTTATACTAGCCTGTTAGGATAGTTAGCAAAAAATAATAACTGATACCAGTGTTGAAACCACAAATTGCAATTTGTTACATAGAAAAGACAAGAAAAATATCTGCCACACAAGATTGGGAAGTTTCAGAAGAATACCCACCACACCCATAGCAGGTAGGAGGTGATAAGAATAAAAGCAAAAATTGGGAGCCTATGAAACCTTTACTGATGTTATTTATAAAACATATTAAACCATGTTTAGTATTTAATACTAAACATAGTTTGTGCCATTAAAATTCCCATTTTTGAAGATCAAAAACTATTAAGATATTGTTAGATATGAGCAATTTCATATGTATCATCTTTCATTCAAATGTACAAAATAAAAATCATTTGAGCTACTAAGTTACTGCTTCTTTGAGCCATTAAAAATTGCAGAGTGGTGATGCCTAACTTGTAAAATGTATGGTGTCTTAGAATTAGGGACTTGCTATGTATGAGATCAGATATGTAAAAATGTTTCTCATATTTGGTTAACATTTGTTTGAAAATATTTACTAAAATAGTTGTCAGAAATTTCTGCAAATTAGAAATAAAAGCTTTGAGCAATATTTTTCAGTCTTTTATTAACTAAATATGAGGTCATTGGTACAATATGGAATCATTTATTCACCAAATATTGAGAAACCATTACATAGTAGGCCTAGAAACAATTTCAGGGCTGATAGAAAAAATTTCCTTCATTTTCCAGTGCAGAAACTGAGTTTTCCAAAAAGACGTTGATAGTGATAGTGGTCACCAGGAGTTTCAGGATGCCTTATGGTAATAGTAGATTTACTGAATTAAATATTAAAAAACATTCTGTCCTAAAACCTAAAATAATTAAATTGGTCCCCCAAATTAATTCCTATTTAGATACAAGTAGTTTTTTAAAAAATTGGTTAAAAATGTTAATTCCTAATACTCAACCATAATTCTACATCCATTCATTGAGAGCTTATTGTTAGCACTTTCCTAAGTGCTGAGAATATTAATAGTTAAGACCCCTCCCTCAATCATGATCTAATGGTGGAGATCCTACCTCTTTACAATGTGAGTAAATCTATGTTCCTGCCTTTTTTCAGGAAATGCAGTACTTTCAGGTTAAGATTTAAAGGTATTTAATTTCTGTGACTACTTTAACCTCTAAGAATTTTATTCTGAGTAGGCAAATGAAAATTTGTGTTAGTGACCAAAAAAAAAAAAAAAAAAAGTTGAGGCACTGAGATAAAATTTTAGAGTTTGACTGCATGGGTCATTTCAATCAAGTATCTACTGTGCTATGACCTTCACTTATGGCATTTGTCTTTTGTCTGCATTTAAACTTACCCATGGCTTATACTGGAGCGCTGTAAAGTTTAGCACTAGGAAACAATGGTTAAATTTTCTTATTTCAGATTCCTGACACCCAATTCATCACATTGTTCCATTATTTTTAAATAATGTTCCAAAGCTCTAATAGAGCAAAACTTCTAACATATCAAACTTACATTTTTTAAATTAATTGATTTATTTAGCATATTGTGGTGAAAGTATAACTAAACTAATAACTTATTGATTTGTAAAATGGATAAAACTAAAACTTAGGAACCTTAAATGCCTCTTGAACTTAAATATCTGACAGTTTCTACCACGTGTTTTTGTAGTAAAAGTTACGTGTTGGGCATTGGATTAGCTACTACATAGGTCAGATACGGACACCATCAAAATCTGGAAGATAGTAATTTACGAAAAATTATAGTCCAAAAAATTAAAAATCTTCACGAAATGGGCAAATTCCTAGATTTATATGAATTCCCAAAGCTGAATAAAGACATAAAAATTCTTAATCTAATAACAAGCAATGATATTGAGGCAAGAACAGCAATAATAATAATAATAAACTGCCAATTAAGAAAAGACCAGGACCTGATGAATTCACTATTGAGGTCTACAAGACCTTTAAAGGAGTTGTAACATCAATATTCCTCAAACACTTCAAAGAAATTGGAAGTAAAAGAATTTTCCTAAAGTTGTTTCTATAAGTCTGTACCACTCTTGAGCCCAAAACTAGGTAGAAAACTATAAATCTCTTCCATGAACACAGATGCAAAAATTCTCAGTAAGATACTGGCAAATAGAGTACAACAAATCACAAACATCAGGCAGTATGACAAATAGGTTTTATCCCAGGGTTGCAGGGATGATTCAAATATGTAAATTAGTACTGTAGTACACTACCTAAACAGAAGACAAAAACCATATGATCATATCATCAGATGCAGAAAAAAGTTCTGACAAAATCCAACATTGATTTATGATCAAACCCTGGAAAAATAAGTATAAAGGGACCTTATTGCTATTTGATAAAACTCATTTGTGAAAACCAGTAGCCAGCATCATATTAAATGAGGAAAAACTGAAAAAATTTCTTCTACAGTCTGGATTAAAACAAGGATGCCGCTATGGCCACTCTTGTTCAACACACTGCTCAAAACATTAACCAGAGCAATCAATCTAGAAAATGAAAGGATATGTGTAAGAAACAAGTCAGCTATTATTTGCACATGACATGACTTTTTACATAAAGGACTCAAACATTGCACCAAAGACTCCTAGAATTAATAAGTTTAGCAATGTAGAAGGCTACAAAATGAAAACACAAAAAATCACTATCATTCGTTTATGCCAATGATCCACTGAGAAAAATAGGAAAGCAATATCATTCACAATAGCATCAAAAAATACTTACAAATTAAACTAACTGCATGTCTTAATTACTTTCTCATTGCTGAGAGAAAATACCCAACACCCAAAGTTAAAGGAGGAAAGGTTCATTTAGCTCACAATTTATAGAGGTTTATTATTGGCTGGATCAAAGGCAGACAGGCATTACAGGAGAAACAGTTCATGACTGGCAGAAGCAACGAGACCATCACAGCTCTTTCTATCCTTTATGTCTTATCCAGGCTACATAGGGTGGGTAACTTATCATGGGATGGTAGGCCTGCAACCTTCCAAATGAGTGGACAGTGAAGGTTTAAATAAAAGAGAAAAGTGGTATGATTTTAGGGCTCCTGAGAATCAAAACTCCCTAGCAGAATTCAAGATTCTCTGGGAGCTGAAACAAAGAACTTTTCTAGGTGGTCCATATTTATTTGGTTTTCAAACAAGGGAAGAGTTTTGAATGGAAAGCTAAGGAGACTGAGCAAGACCTTGGGAATCGGTTCAAGGACTTCTCCAAGTAATAAATTATGTTAATTTAGGAGAACTATCTTATTTCTAGGTTGACCTTTACCACACCGGAGTGAGATTCCTGAAGCTACAGTATTCATCTAGTTAATTGGGATTGGAACCAGGCATGCTCAACTGTGGCCTTCTCTTGTCCTTTGAATTATAATGGCATCACAGGCCACTACAGGACTCAGCCAGGATCAGTGATTCAGAGTATTTATTACTATGAATCCACTTCCTATCTCCAGATAAGGGGCCTAGGCCTTGGACAGACTCACCAGTAAACATAAAAATCTTTTTGGTTAATTTAAATTTCTACTCAAAGCCACGTTGTAGTGATCTCCATCAGGTAAGACCAAATGCCCTGGATCTTAGCATTGCACCATGAATCAATTCCAGTGTCACACACTGTAGATTCATCCACACTTGAAAAAGCCCATCTATTCCTGCATGAGGCTTAGCAGAACATCTATCATGAAAATTACAATACTCTGAAAAAAGGAGATTGAAGAGGATATTAGAAAAGAAAATATATTCCTTGTTCCTCATAGATAAATAAGTATTGTCAAAATTGCTGTATTTCCAAAACTGATACATAGATTTAATGCAATCCCAATCAAAATACCAACAGTATTCTTCAGAGAAGTAGAGAAAGAATTCCTAAAATTTATATGGAATCGACCCACAGTACGATTACCAATCCCGGACAAGAAAAGCAAGGCAGGAGGCATCACAATGTCTGACTTCAGGTTATACTACAAGGGTACAGTGATAATTGCTGCAAATATGATACAAAGAGAGGCCTATGGATCAACAAAACAGAATAAAGTTTACAAAAATATCACATACATACTCAGGTATTTAGTGTTTGACAAAGTGTCCAAAAACATATGCTGAGAAAAAATAGTAATTTAGCAGTGTTACTAGAAAACTGGCTATCCATATGCAAAAAATTTAAGCTAGGCCCATATCTATCACTATGTACTAAATTAAAATCAAAATATACCAAAGATCTAGTTATTAAAACATAAACACTTAAGCTGCTGAAATATAAAATAGGTAAAATTTTTGAAATCATAAGTGTAGGCAAGTATTTTGTGGACAAAATTATAACTGACAAGAAATAACAGCAAGAGAACATATGTGAACATAAAAATCACAATCTGTAAAATAAAGGAAACAACCAACAGAGTGAATAGATGAGCTACAGAATGAGAAAAAAAAATTTAAAGCTACAACTTGGACAAAGGACTGATATCTAGAATATATAGAAATCTTTAAAAATTAGACCACATAAAATAAAAGACCCAATTTTAAAAATGGACAACTGAAATGAAGAAGAAATACAATGTCCAATAAATACATAATATTCTACTTCACTTACATTACAGAAATGCAAGTTATAACCACACT